AATTCGTAAACTATTAATTTTTTGATAACCATACCTTAATACTTTTATGAACAGAATAATGAGATGAATCAATTAGTGGAAAGAAAACACATAGTTGCTTATTTAAAAAATTATCCATTTTGCATACATATTTTTTTAAAGCAACTATTGCAATTAAAGCAACTGTTTTCTTTCGACTAATTGATTCATCTCATTATTCTGTTCATAAAAGTATTAAGATATGGTTATTAAAAAATTAATAGTTTACGAATTATTTAATATTTTATGTCAATATGTGCCACAATGAAATATAAAATATCTCGTAAACTATTGGTTTTTTGATATCGCTACCTTAATACTTTTATATGCAGAATAATTAGAGGAATCATATTATGTAAAAAAATTCATATAATTCCATTTCAAAAAATGATCATGATCTTCAAATAACCTTGGAAATGAAGGTCAAGGTCATTGTCAAGGTCATAGTTCTATCAGCCCCTTCATATCCAACAATTTTTGTTTTAAACATTTTTTTATTTAATCGCGATGTTTCGAGTTATTTGGCTGTCTAAGTTAAAATGGGTCACCCTGTATATATAATCAAAAGATTTTTTAATACATGTAAGATATGTAATCTATTCCATTTTTAGTGAGCAGAATTGTCACTTTTCTGATAAATCAAGATTACTAAAAAGATTCAGGGATTCTTTTTTGCAATTAAAAAAATACGAAAAAAAATCTTTAACAAATTGTTAAAATTTTATATACAATTTCTTCTAATTTTATATCAAAGGTACAATGTCTATTAATTTTTTGTTACAAATTAGAACGCAATATAACATCTTTTTCTTATTTTATTCTTACTCCCTGAATATTCATATTGGAATTAATAAAGAAAAAGGAAAATAAAGAATTCGAAAGAGAACCAATTACATATAAAATTTTATTTATTGGTTATACATCACTAATTACATGAAAATAAGAAATTATCTTTGACAAAATCTTCAATTTTAACTCTCTGTAGTCTAAATTATTTTCATTTTATTAAATATTTCCAATAAAGTTATAAATTTTGTAATTTTAATATTATTAATACTTCTTTTCCTAACACAAAATTATGATAATTTCTTACTTTCAAGATAATTAATATAATTTGTACAATCAAATTGAAAAATTAATGAAAACACACAAAGGATTAAGAAAGAATATAAAAAGTGACAATTCTTATTAAAAAGCTCTCGAAAAAAGTCTGCGTGAAGTTGATTCTGAAGAAAACAGTATTAAAAAATGCAAAGATTTACTTACACCAGCCCTGTTGTTGTTGATGCTCATCTCGTCCTCTTCCTCGTCGTCAGCGCCGCTGTCTTCCTTTTTCGTTTTTTTCTTACCATCGTCGCCACTACTGTTCGCCCGCCTCTTCGTCTGTAGCGTTAGTTTCAGCCCTGTCCAAAGGAAAGTTTAATTAATTCTCATTAATTGATTTCGCTCGTAGGTACATCGCCGAGGCCATAACAGTCATCACTTGCAATATGCGGGGAATACAAATCCATTAGGATTACCCAGAAAAGTAGTTAGATTGTAATTAGACGCTTTGATGAAGAGAAGGAACTCTTTCCTTGTTATTTTTCACTAAAATGTAATAAATGCAGATTTTTAGTTATAATGACTTTAATTTTAATTTTAAAAGAACAAGATTTTTTATTATTATCATCGAAAGTATTAACAACTGGAAATGCTATCAGCAATCAAAATAATTGCTTTGCAATTTTTTTATAAAAATTCAAGTTTATAACAATGCATTTTTTAGTTTTTTTCGTGACTTTTATAAAATAAAAATCGCAATATAAAAAATATTAATTGAATTAATCAATTTAGTTTCTCTCTTCATTTCTTTTAAAAAGTATTACATATAATATATCTTTATTAATTCTATTTTCGATCACAGCAATCATCTATGTATATGTATATTATACAGGGCGTCCACCTAATGTGAATCCATTTTATCTTTGCAAGGTAAGATCGAATCAAAAATATGTTTATACAAAAGTAGTATGGTAAAGGTATACCTAAATAATGATAATATCAATTTTCGAAAAAAATTTATCTGTTAGGCCAATCTGTTTTATCCGAACATATTTTTTATTCGATCTTATCCTGCAAAAATTTAAGGGATGATCATATTAGGTGAGATAACCCATATTCTATATTTATTGTTGAATGATAGAAATTAGTCAATAATTCAAATATTAATAGCATTATTAAAACTTTAAATGTAATTATAACTGTGTAATATGTAAGTATAATTACATATTACAATGATAATTCGAAAATAATATTTATTACAAAGAATAAAAAGATCAGATTGCGCGAATATAATTGTTTAACATCGCAATAGATTATAGACTTCCGCCGGAAAGTGGACTTAAAAATGTTGCAACGCACAATGTATTAATGACATAGAAAATGACAGTGATCGCTAACATTTCCACGCGATACAAGGACATTCTCGTGACCTTCGAAGGATTAAATCGCGATAATTAAGGATTATTTGTGTCAGGAGTCGCGACATACAAACCATTATCAAATCACTCTAGATCCACGTATTCTACATTCCGCATATCGAGAGTGAATTAAAAAAATTTTTAATTAATTAATTTGGCGGTTGATGTAATAGATCGGAGTAACCAGCGCGAACACAAAACCGCAAAGGCAATTACGATAATAATCCTCCTTTGCGATTGCGTGTATGCGTATATTGCGTAATCCGTAATTTGAAAGGAACAAGATTTGCAATTTAATGCTGTGCATAGAGTGAAGGCAAAAAGGTAAAGAAATAAAGAGGGAAAGAAAGAGAAGCACGTTATATATAGCAGAACGAACCACTATATTGTCATTGACATTTGTTAAATGTGGCTAAAGTGGGTGGAATGAATGCAAATATCGCTTTCAACTTATACTTCTTGCAGTTTGTATGTTTTATAAGAAATATAAAGCAATTAATATATTTGCCCGCAATCTGATATTTACAAATATAAAAATAAGAAGAAAAAATTTTTCTTTAAACGGACATTTGAAAAAAATTAAGAAATACTAATTAAATATATTACTTTTGTTAAATGTTTATAGTTTAAATTAATATTACTAATATGTTCATTATAAAATATGTAGAATTGTAGCAGCTTGATTTGTTAATAAGTACAAGGATTTGAAATATTCAATAGGCGTATATTGTACATCATTTACACGCGTACTTTGACTTTTTAAGAGTAAAGAATATTGTCAATATATATAACAAATTAATATTCTGAAAATCTTATAATACTCTCTAAATCTCATGGAGTGAAATTTCACTCGAAGAGACTGAAAATTGAGCCAGTCTTGAGAAAAGAGTGAAAATACGGTCACTTTTGTTCAAGAGTGGCAGATTTTCACACTTTTTAAAGTGAGATTTATTCTTCTGGAATGAAATTCACTTCGAAGGAGCGAAATCTCAATCCCTTTTTTGAAGTAAGGTTCCATTCCTACCCTGGTATTAAGTACACTCCAAAAAAAGGATTGAGAAATTTTACTCTTTTGGAGTAAATCTCATCTCAAAAGAGTAAAGGTTTGTTCGCGTCGCAAGCTCCAACATGCTCCTACCATAGCTCCTATTCACTCTATCAAGCGCGTTGGAGCGAGTAAGAGCTATGGTAGGAGCATATTGGAACATGGAGCGTGCGACGCGAATAAACCTTAAATCTCATTCTAAAAAGAATGAAAATCTGTCACTCTTGAACAAAAGTGGTAGTATTTTCACTCTTTTTTCAAGAATGGCTCAATTTTCAGTCTCTTCGAGTGAGATTTCACTCCACGAGATTTAGAGAGTATATTTAAGTGTGTTTGAAATCTCTTGAAAAAGAATTTTATACGAAAGAATCTATTATTCTCATTATTTTTAGTCTATGCTTTACAGAATTCTAGGTACCTTATTGATTTTCATTCGTTGCCATTTTTATTATTTAAAAGAAAATTGACTTCTTAAGTTTTAGAAATACTTCGCAAATTTTGCTCACTGAAACACTTCCATGTGTATATTATATAAAACATAGAGCATAGACTGCGTCATCCGTGTGTAAAATTGGTAGATAAAAATGAAAGAGATAGGAGACGGTCAATCTCCATTCCTTTCTATTTATCTAATCACAATATTTCAGAAAGAGAAGGAAATTTTAGCCGTCTTCACGCTTTTTCTCTCTGATTTTTGTTGATCACATATAAGGTCTGTTCTTTTTAGCTAAAGTTTTTGCACGGTTCATCTTCTCTTGTTCCTTTTCTCTCCATTGGAGAGAAAAATAGAAAAGATGAACCGTTCAAGAAGTTCAGCTAAAAAGAACAGGCCTATGATATATCTACTATTTAGATACTGTCTTTAATATAGATATAAATGAGCATCGAAAATGTGATTTTCATTTACCTTCCTTGATAAGCTGACTACAGGTGTGCTGGACGCTTGGCGGGCTCGGTTCGCCACTACTGGTCGAGTCCGTACGATCCCGTATGCCCCTTTCGTTGCCGCTGCCGTAGCCCTCGAAGGGATTGGTCATGGCGATCAGCGAATTTACGATTTCCGGTGTCCTTGGCGTGACCTCGGCCGCCGCCGCCGTGACACCGAGAAGACCCGCGGCCCCGGTTGGGCTGGGATTCACGTTCACGTTCAGATTGTACATGGCTTGCGCTGGGCTCTCACCATTTATCTAACCTGGAAACACGAGCAAAAGGTCGTCGCGTGAAGCTAATTAAGCCTGAAAGCGCGCTAAACGTAATTGAATGTTTCAAGAGAATAAAACAAAAGTTTAGCCTTAATTTTTAATTTATTAATCCTTCAGTAAAGCAAATGAAAAGAAATTTTAAAAAATTAAAGTTTGAAGAGGATTGAAGATTGAGAACGTTGAAACGTATACGTTTGGTGGCCTATGCTATTTATATATTTCTTGAGTCTCTCTCTCTCTCTCTCTTATTACATGTGTTTACATAAGCTTAATTAAAATTAATTAAATCTGATAACGTTCTGGATATAATTAAGCATTTTCAAGATGCAACTTGATCTTAAAGTTAATTTCGATAAATTAACAGTAAAGAAGATGAAAAAAACGTAATAAATTAGAGATCGAAGGAGATTGAAATAAAAAGAAAGAAAAAGATATTAAACCTGTTCTTTTTAGCTTCTTACACTATTCATCTTTCTCTTTTTTCATCAACGCGGAGAGTAAAAGAGGAACCATGCAAGAAGTTTAGTTGAAAAGAACAGGCTCGACGAATAAAAAATCAAAATTAAATAGTAATAAAGGCAATTTGGCTTTATTACATACTTGTCTTTAGCATGGTGGAGAATATAGCAGACATAAAGCGGAGAAGATCGAAGATTTTTTGAAATAATAACTGCACACTTAGAACGAAACATGTGTCTATTCATAAAAGTCGAAAGCGAGCCTAAAGTTTTCGGGCCTTCCAGCATAATTAAGCAGGAGACCCACGCGAAATTCTCATAGTGTAAATTATCTTGCGAAAACCGCAAACGAGGATATCGCTCTCTATCGCTTTCCGGAATTCCCGAGAAAGACTGACGAACACTTATTATTGCGTTACAATAAAACATAAGAATAATTATGTGATCTCGCACTATCACGAAAATGAATGATACAATTATCTAGAAAGTTACAATACTCGCTTTCGCGCTTTTCATCAAAATATTCACATCATATGTACGAATCATTTCATAATCATGACGACACAAAAGCGGAAAGAATTGTTGACCGCAGTAAATAGATTCGTAATAATTGTAACATACTTGCTTATTACGTTAAAATAAGTATTATAGTTATATATACAGGGTGTTCGGTAAAGACCGTAACAACATTTAAGGATAGATTCCTGAGATTATTTTGAGATAAAAATTCTAATACAAAGATGTCGAGGCTTTAAGGCTCCTGAGTAGTCACCACAGCCATATTGAATCGTGACGTCAGAAGCGAGGAATGACACGTTAATTTATGTTGTATGCCATTTGTAACTAAAGACATTTAAAAATCGATGAAAACTGTTTATCCCCCCTGACCGTCAGTAAATAATCGTAAAAAGTGATAAAAGGCACGTATAAGTGAAAATAAACTACGCATGCGCATTGAATAAAAGCATTTCATGTGCCTTTTATCACCTTTTACGATTATTTACTGATTGTCAGGAGGTATAACAGGGTTGGTAAAAAACATGTTTTAAACGTGTTTTTAAACAGTTTAAAACATGCTAAATTGATGTTTTTAATATGTTTTAAATATGTTTTTTTTTATAATACTGTTTAAAATATATTTGAAACATTAAAAACATATTTAAGAAGAAACACAGTACGTTTTATTCTTAAAAAAAGCATTAGTATTTACCAACCCTGGGGGATAAGCATAGTTTTCATCCATTTTTACAAATGTTTTAAAGCAATCTCATCATTAAAATTTATCCAAATTGTCTTTAGTTACAAATGGCAATATAAATTAACATGTCATTTCTCGTTTCTGACGTCAATTTGACTAGGAGTCTTAATAATTTTTTAAATATTATAAGCACTTAAAATTATCGAATCATATCGCCTAAAGTTCGCGCGTTCAGATGTAACACAACAGAAAATCCAATCACACCTAAACGCGCGAACTGTAGATGGTATGATTCGCTATAACTTTAAGGCCCGATTTCACAATATACGGTTACCTAAAGATTAAAAGTAACCAAGAAATTCATGAATGAATTTCATTGATGAATCTGTTGGTAACCTTTAATCTTTAGTAACCATAGTGAAAACGGGTTTAAGTATATTTATAATTTAAAAAATATTAAGGGGATGCTGGAATGACCAAATTATCACATTACAATCGTATAAAAAAATCTTCGAATTGACTGAACGGAATAAAAAATCCTTTTACAGGATTAAAGTAGATGCAAAATTAGGAGGTAGTGCAGTGGATTTTATACTAAATCGAAAGAATGTTAAAAAATTTTTTAACTTTTTTTCGATTTTAATGCAAGGATTTTTTATTCCGTTCAGTCAATTCAAAGATTTTTATACTGTAATGTGATAATTCGGTCACTCCAACATCCCCTTAAAGCCTCGACATTTTGATATTAGAATTTTTGTTTCAAAATGATCTCAGGAATCTACCCAGCGTTATTACGGTCTTTACTGAATACCCTATATGTATATAGTAAATGTATATATAATATATATACATATGTTCCTCCGCCGGCAACATTGGACTTGAAAGTCAATTTTTTGACTGTGTGAATTTTTGTAGATAAATTTAAATCTGTAAAAAATTATTAAAGTACAATTTAATTCTGTGATAGTAGAAACTCGTTATTAAAGCTTTCACAAGTATGCAAAAATTTTTTTTGTTCTTTATACAATTCAAAACAATATCAAAATCTGTACTGAAGTTCGAAGACGCAGATTGCGGACAAAGGATGAAAATTTCACATTGCCGACAAAAAAATACATACATATAAATATATATAAAATTACAAAGAAGATATCTCTCTCTCTCTTCATAACACAATTGAAATTTTTATATTATATACAGGGTGATTTTTTTAACCTGAGATTTTCAAATATCTCGAAAAACAAGCACACTAAGAAAAAACGTTAAGAATCAATATATCATCATTCCGAGGGTGAAATACACTGACGTTAAAATCAGCCCCCCCACCCCGCCCCCTGGGCGGTGAGGGGGGGCAAGTTTGAAATCTTAAATGGGAACCCCTATTTTTTATTGCATATTCGGAATCTTTGGCTAAAAGCACATACGATTTGTCTGAAACATTTTTCTCGATTCATGATAGATGGCGCTGTAATCGACGAAATTCAATTTCTTCGATTTCTCTTACTGAGAACCCATGCTTACGATTCTGCAATGCATTAACAATAAAAATACCACGTTTTCATTGTTAATACTCGAAATTAGTCTTAAAACTTCTCATTATTTTTAATTATTCATTAATTACTTCTCAAGAAACTACTTTTAGCGTAACCCAGGAACAACGACGTGGACGTAGCAGTTTTCTGTTCCCTTTTTTAAATTTTTTAAATTAGGCTGACCCCGAATCGTGAGAGGCGAGGGGACTCACGTTAATCAAGCACCCCGAATCGTGAGAGGCGAGGGGACTCACGTTAATCAAGCACCCCGAATTGTGAGAGACAAAGGGACTCACGTTAATCAAGCACCCCGAATCGTGAGAGGCGAGGGGACTCACGTTAATCAAGCACCCCGAATCGTGAGAGGCGAGAGGATTCACGTTAATCAAGCACCCCAAATCGTGAGAGGCGAGGGGACTCACGTTAATCAAGCACCCCGAATTGTGAGAGGCAAGGGGACTCACGTTAATCAAGCACCCCGAATCGTGAGAGGCGAGGGGACTCACGTTAATCAAGCACCCCGAATCGTGAGAGGCGAGGGGACTCACGTTAATCAAGCACCCCGAATCGTGAGAGGCGAGAGGATTCACGTTAATCAAGCACCCCAAATCGTGAGAGGCGAGGGGACTCACGTTAATCAAGCACCCCGAATTGTGAGAGGCAAGGGGACTCACGTTAATCAAGCACCCCGAATCGTGAGAGGCGAGGGGACTCACGTTAATCAAGCACCCCGAATTGTGAGAGACAAAGGGACTCACGTTAATCAAGCATCCCGAAGGGAACAGAAAACTGCTACGTCCACTTATATATATATATATGTATGTAGTAGATAATATCCTTTTAAACATTATAACTTAAATATTGAACCGTCACATTTTAAAAATGTCAAATATAAATACCATAATACCAAAACTATACTTGAATATAAATATTTAATCTTGTCTTTTTCCCGGTAAGAAATCGTAGGACGATTCTTATCGATGCGATCGCGACCTTCATGATCTATCAATGATCGATACATGCACCCGCCTACGGGCCGAGTCGGTAGCACCTGTATGTGCAATTGAATTGCCGATAACGAGATATGACCGGAAAGACGATCTCGTTGAGCAGTCTCGTAAAAATTCCGCTAATTCCATTCTACATCCATTAATAATTTATATTTTATATAATAATATTAATCTTCAATTAATAATTAAATAAACTAAAATATTCGTTCATATTCTTTAAATATTAATTCTTTCATATCCAAGCAAAAGTACAAAAAAATACAAAACTTAATGAGCGCTTTACTTCTGTTTGCTTTCCTTTCTCTTTCGACGCGTAGATATTTTTGGTATAATTTAAGTTACAAATGATATTCATAACATAATACATGTAAATTATGATAATTTACATAAAAATTATAAATTATATGACTAATAATACATACGACTAAATAAACGAATATTCATCACACACTTCCATATTTTGCGCGAATTCGAGGATTACGTAACACATACTTTTTAAAATGCGTAGAAAATCAGAATATCTTATCGGACAATTTTACTTTTCATTTTTTTCAATTAAATTCAAGAATTTTCGTATGCTATTGCTCTTTCGGCGCTGCACGCTGTATTGCGGTTAGTCGTTAAAAAATGGGCTCATTATTATCTGTCTAGTCGCGTTTGACCGATCTCTGGTGGACGTGTCTATCAAAATTACTTTTGACAGAGATTGACAACCTTTTAGTTCTTGCTCACCCGCTTGCTTGCTCGGCTCACCCACGACGAATTTTCTCGCACATTTTTCATGCACCAGAT